ACTTTGGAAACTCCATCCCAATTCATCCAAGAGCATGGCTACTGCATTCCACTTGAAACATGCGGCTAGCAAATTTTGCGAATCGAACGTGTCTTTTTGTGGCACCAAATTCCAAAATGAGCCGTACCCAAAGTATCACGGAGAAACTCTGGACTGAAGTCCAAACTGTACGTATGGATGTTGAACTTCTTTCACACCGAACGTATCCAACTGTACTCATCGGAGGTGTGGGGAAGGACGACAATCTAAACATGAAAAGCAGGGCTACATGAATCTGTTTTTATTAATCTAAATTATAAAAAAATTGAATAGCTGCAGTGGCTTCCTAATATCCGAAGGAAGAGCATTCCAGACGGCCGAAGAAGTACATCTGAAAGCAAGCGATGCGGTGAGATGCAATGAGAGCGTTTGACGAAAGTTTGCGACGAAACAAAGACCAGGACAAACCACATCTGGAAATAAATTGGCTGCCCACCACTACCTTAGCCACAGTGTACCCCACAGCAGCACACTCCACTCCCACGGGGCTTGCCAGTTGTCACTCCAAACTAGACAGCGACTTGAACGCCACAGTGAGGATAGCCACCAGCACACTAACGTCAACCACTCCATCTTGGCCATCTTCACCTGTCAACCGTGCTAACCTGCGATTAGCACAGTTGGCTACGTACGGTGTTAAAGACGTTCAACATACATACATACATAAAAACATTCCTCCTCCTAAGATCTGCAGACAGCAAACAAGTTCCCGTGAGTGCAGCCACGTCCAAGCCAATCCAAAAGGAAAATCGACAAAATCTTCGGCACCACCGCCTAATATCACGCACGTTTTTCCCGAGCACACCCACAGCCCTCGCAAATTCGAACATTTACGCTTGAGAGAAATGATGATCAATTCGCTGCCACAATAATACCAATAGCAATGTTGAGTTTCATTTCGTGGCATCCATGCCAATTGCATCTCCAAATTGCTGATAAATTACATGAAAGCTGGAAGATAGCCAAGCAGTGAGCCAGCACCAACAATTCCCACAAGCTCTGCAGTCCTCTATTGTACTGAGTGTTTTATGTAAGTGGGAGGACATTGGAGCTGCTGGAGCAAACCCACGCACGTGAGGGGACACCCCTCTATTTCCATAGCAAAGAGGCTGGTGATGTTAGTTCGCAATTTGCTATCCTGGCACGCCAGGAGAAGGCACTTCAACGTCCACGGGAATGTTTCACGCCGTTTGTGTGCTCCACCAGCAGTGAGCTGGAAAAAGGAATTGGCCAAATGTCGAAGGCAGAACCTGTCCTGAAACAGATTCTGGAGACTCAGTGAAGACCTTCTAGGGTCAACGAATATTGAGTTTGTATAGCATTCGGTCATCGTGAATAGCCTTTCATTATCAGAATGTGTACGCCTACATAAAGAAAACATCAATGTCAAATGAATGTTATGCATGTTTTTTTTCCCCAACAAAATAACTGACATTGCTGGAGGCCCTTAAAACAAGATTAAAAAGCAATATGAAGACACTCATGATTATTCATTTCGTGCATCCCCCCCCCCTCTGTCTAACTGCAAACCCAGGCAGCAACAAATAACGTCACTTTGGCAAATGTGTTCCCGCTTGTTGATGGCTGCGTGCTCCCTGGGGCTTCTCTCCTGCCCACAGTTACTCACACAATTACAGTGCACAAGTGAGCACAAGCCACGAGGAGGCCGTATACACAGTGGCAAGCATGAAAAAAGAGATTAGAAATATATGCAATAAATGCAAAAACAAAAAAGCAATGCCTCTAAAAAGACAAATGCCCTTCATTAAAATCTTGATTATAGACCTTCGTCAATATAAGGCTACGACAGAAATGGCTTCCTTTAATGCTATTTATACCCCACTTGGACACAGCGGGAATAATTTACAATGGCTTTTTAACATTCCATGTGCCAGGTGCGGCTAATAGAGTTTGGTGTGGATGCACTGCACACACACAGGGCCACTGTGTTCAATTGCCTCTGCAAGCCACACCTGGTGTGCATACTGTGAGGAAGGCATCGCACATCACTCTGCTGGCCTTCATTGCATCGAGGAGATGATCCAACGTATGGGCAAGGCTTTAATGGACAGCAAGTCATATTGTTTGCTTTCTCAGGCCACGATGTCCAGAATGGGAAATGTATCAAATTGGTAGCTTTGTAAATCCCAAAATTTTGTTCCAGTTTTCATTCCTAATGATTATTCACGTGTCTTGTGGCTAGCTACTGCACTGACACGTGTTACATTCGGCAGTTGGGTGATGAACTCTGATAAATGCATGTAAATACATAATATGCATATATATAAAACACAGCAAATATATGAAGGACATTGGGATATTGATCCAGCCAACATAATGCCTTAATTACTCTGCAACATGACTTCTAGAATTCACTTTCCATTGAACCCTGTGTAAAATATTCCTGCTGGTTCAACAGCTTAGGCATTCAGTGCTGCCTGCACTGACTAACACTGGCACAGCGCACGTGTTGGTGTACCTAGACCAGGGGTCGGCAACCTACGGCTCCGGAGCCGCATGCGGCTCTTTACGGGCTGCTTCTTGACGATGAGTACGTATGTACAGTATGTACTCAGATGCATTGCGGCTCTTGAAATACTGAATTTTGTACCGAATTGGAAAGAAATGGCTCTTCTTGTTATTTTGGTTGCCGACCCCTGACCTAGACCCACACATCTGTCTCACCCGTGATGATATGTTCGCACTGCACCCGGGTACTCAGTTAAGGCCCAATGACCGATAGGATGTAGGATGGACAACAACAGGAACATTAAAAGTGTGTTGTTTGAAAAAATTGCAGGAACCAGAAAGAGAGGAAGACCTAACAGAGAATGGCTTGGCAACGCAAGAAAATGGTGTCAGAAAGATTTGGCACTACTTTAGCATATTAGCACAAGACAGAGGAAAGTGGAAACCACTGATATGTAAAGTGAACACCTATGGGCCATCTGCCCATGGATCATGATGATGATGACGTATAGGATGCCCAGTGGCCAATTGCATAAAACACTGCAAGTGAAAATCTCCCTTAATTTACAGTTATTTAAATAGAAGGAATTTTGGAATGAAGTTGCTTTAATTCTGGACGTTGTTTACATAACGCTGGCCAATGATATGTTGCATAGGTAGGGGTTGAACCCAGGTCACCAGGATTGTTTTGCAGTGCATGAACCGCACACACAGGTGTGCGGCACCGCATGTACAAAGCTGTCAGCCTTATCCACAGCACCAGCTCAAAAGAACTGAATGTGGCTGCCATTTTATCGTCTCGACCACCAACGCAAAGGGTTGAGAAAACGTGGCCTGTTGATGGTTAGGATAAAGCTGAGTGTGCTGCTGAATCAATTTGTTTCTTGCCTGAATTCATTTTTCTTCTGCGATGGGTTTTCTCACCATTCACAGATTTGAATGAGCGCACGAACCACGAGACCACTGCTTCATACTACATCACTAGCAGGTGTCACACACACCCACACACGCACATGCACCACATACACACCACACATGCACCATACACACACCACACATGCACTACACGCACACACACACCACGCACGCGCACCAGACACACATCACGCACATGCACTACACACACACACACCACGCACGCACATGCACTACACACACCACACACGCACCACACACACACCACGCATCTTCACCTGTCAACCGTGCTAACCTGCGATTAGCACGGTTGGGTACGTACGGTGTGAAAGACGTTCAACATACATACATAAAAACATTCCTCCTCCTAAGATCTGCAGACAGCAAACAAGTTCCTGTGAGTGCAGCCACGTCCAAGCCAATCCACTTCGACCCGCGCAAGGAAAATCGACAAAATCTTCTGCACCACCGCCTAACATTACGCAAGTTGTTCCCGAGCACACCCACAGCCCTCGCAAATTCGAACATTTACGCTTTAGAGAAATGGTGATAAATTCGCTGCCGCAATAATACCAATAGCAATGTTGAGTTTCATTTCGTGGCATCCATGCCAATTGCATTTCAACATGAAAGCTGGAAGATAGCCAAGCAGTGAGCCAGCACTAACAATTCCCACAAGCTCTGCAGTCCTCTATTGTACTGAGTGTTTTATGTAAGTGGGAGGACATTGGAGCAGCTGGAGCAAACCCACGCATGTGAGGGGGCAACCCTCTATTTCCATAGCAAAGAGACTGGTGATGTTAGTCCGCATTTTGCTCTCCTGGCGTGCCAGGATACGGCACTTCAACGCCCACGGGAACGTTTCATGCCGTTTGTGCTCCACCAGCAGTGAACTGGAAAAAGGAATTGGCCAAATGTCGAACGCAGAACCACACACACACCACACAGGCATGCACCACACACACTATACACGCACATGCACCACACACACACATCACACACACACCACGCACACATCACGCACACTCCACACGCACACCACACACACACCACACACACACACCACACACACCACGCACACACCACACACACCACACACACATCACGCACACACCACACACACACACACCAGACATGCACAGAGACAGACATACCCCGTAAAGTTGTATAGACTGCTGGGTTTCAAATGTTGTTCGTGTAACAAACACATCCTGGTTTAAATATTTCATTACAGTCTTTTCTCCATCCACTGCTGGATGAAGGCCTTCAAACACTGTATGCTGGTCCGTGTGGGTTCGTTAAATGGGTGGAGGGCATGGCCGGTTACAGTGTTACTTCCTGCGAATGTTCGCCGTGGCTGGGAATCAAACTCATGTTGTGGCTTTCAGTGTGAAGCAGCAGCAGTAGCGTGCTAACCACTCTGCTACCACGCTCCCACAAATGCGCTATAAGGACTCCAACGCAACCCAATTGCACGCGGTAATCGGTGAAGTGCCTTGAGCTTTGCGTCTCGGCTACACCACTCTGCCCCGTCGGCTTCACAACGGGAAGAACAAAGGGCTCGATGCGTGCCTCACCTCGAGCTGATCGTCCACGTGGAAGGGCAGCACCAGATCCTTCCACGGGCTCCACGCCCAGGAGGTGCCCTGCTGCTGCCGGTACACGAAGCCGAAGACGTTTGACGTCTTGGGCATGAGCAGCGCTCGCTGGAGCCTCAGTTGCGCTGGGCAGGGGTACCTCGGGTCCTGCTCGCAGAGCTTTCGGAAGAACTCGCTGAACCTGCGAAACGAACGTGTGGCTTTTTTAATTTTGTTTCAAACTTCACGGGTTTATCTTTCGTGTGTGTGTGTAAGCAAAGCTAAACGTCAATTAATCGTTCCATCCGTTTGCGGAACAAAGTTGCTTTGTCCTTTATTTTTCATAATAGAGGTGTTTGGGTTAGATCACGTAAATATAAATGTGTCGTAAAACCCGCCACCACCCGACACAGCCAATTAGTAAGGTTTGTCACGTACACAAAACACGTCAGTTCATTATACGTAAAGCACAACGGTGTGTTGGAGAGTAAACTCACAAGATGTACAATTTCAGTACGACGTTATTACAAACAGCATCATCAGGCTCACAGCCAGAGTTGTGGAAAAATCCTCGTGTCTCGTTTCCATCGATACCACACTGCCCGGCGTTACAGGACGTGCATGTCCTTACAGAGCTCATTGTTGCGATTTGATGGGTTTGGCTGAACTTTTAAAAATAACCAAGCTAGCGGTGGTGAGGAGGGTAAGTGAGTGGTTAAATTGTGGAACGGGTGTTGTATGCCCAGTATTTTGAACTTCTTTCGCACCGTACGTAGCCAACAATGCAATCGGAGGTGTGAGCCATACGTAGCCAACCCTGCTAATCGGACAGTGTTGGCTGTACGTATGTAAGGTGAACTTATTTGCGCACCCTACGTAACCAACCGTGCGGGGAAAGGCCAACAAACTAAACACAAAAAGCTGTTGGCCCAGTGCATTGGTGGACAGGCGTTCGTCTTTGCTGGTGCTCAGTAAGATTTTCCTGGCCGTAGTATTAACTATTTTGAGTGTTTTGGCACCTATAATTACTTGAATGTCTACAGAGGTGGGGCAGGGGGGTGGAATGTGGGGGGTGGGGAAAAGAAATGGCATTAATTATATTGAAGCGTTAAGTTATCTATATAACTGGACAGGACCGAAACGCGTTTTTGTACGTTTTGAGTTGTGCCAGGCGGCAACGAGGGCAGCCTTGGGAGATATTTCTCTAAAACGTCGCCCCCATTTAGTTAACAACGAACAAGATTGCGCTGCTAAATTTAATCTGTACAATCCGTGCCGCGGTGACCACGGCAACTGAAAGTGATTTGTCGATAATAACCCCCCTGGACGAGGTTGACCAACAATTCCACAGTACATGGCACAAACACGGACACATTCATTAATGTGCGCCTGTGGGTGAATGGCTGTGTGCATTGAGAGATAGCTGTGGCAGCACATGGATATGCATGATGCCACAAATGAACCTTATGGCGGGACCTCGGGGTCCCGAATAAACGGAAGTCAAAATCGTAATTACTTTATTTATTTTGGGCGACTCCGACCCACCGCGTATATAAACGACGCGACCCACCTGGCGCGGATCATTCTGTTGTAATGTCATGTCCAAGCGAAGCAGCGAGGACGAATGCGCACAAGAGATGAACAAGTGAATGCACTTCATGCTCGGGTATGGGCAGGATCATAAGTCTTATCCAAAGCTGCTCAAAATGCCTACACGACTTAAGCCCTTTATTTGTCATAACGATATGCATAACACAGTGAAACTGCTCTCTTATTTTCATTCTTATTTGTGACCTACCAATGTCTGCAGCCAGGATCAATCGATGACATACCGCTCGTATCAATGCGGATAAGAGTAGCGGCGACCCACTACTCTGTAGAGTAACATTGGTATAAACGCTTGTTACAATATGAACAGCGCATTGAAAACGCATACTATTTTATGTACTGTTTATGTACTTTACAAAGTGTGTTCACAAATTCACACTGAGAAACATGATGATTTACAGAGGGGTGTACATTTTTTTTCGATAGTATATTTAAATAGAGATATTGCAGGTAAGTGGTTTTCAGTTTTAACGGCATAGTTTAAAAAGACAACACTTGCCACCATCCTTCAAACCCAATGGTGAAAAAAGCAAAGTTTTTGTTTATAATCTTGATTTGAAACTTTCGTGATTGCAGGAATCCATACTCTTTGGTTCTTTCGGTAAAGTCACGTAGGTATAAATAAATAAAACAAATCACGACGTTTCGATCGCAACACAAGCAAGATGAATGGGTACTCGGACCGCATTATTCGCAAAGCTGTTTCTCCAACCATGGAGAAACAATCTCCTGAGAAGCCAATCAAAACCATCACTTTACCATACATAGCAGGTGTTACCAAAAATATTTCCAAAATCTTAAACAAACACAAGATCCAGGTCCGATTCAATACAGTACACAAAATCCGTGATCTAATCCCATCTGTAAAGATCATTCCTGACATGCAATACCCTGGAGTCTACAAACTGAGTTGTACCTGCGGTAGCAGTTACATTGGGGAAACGAAACGACATGTCTCAGACCGTGTTCGCGAACACAAGCAGATCTGAAACACGGCAGAACCAATACCTCTGCCGTGGCTGACCATTGTTATAACGCTGTGGGCTCGCGTGATATTGTTTTTCCGAGACCAAGGTACTCTGCAAACCTTCGGGCCATAAAGATATATAAACATAGACATTACTTCAACCGAGAAGATGGATACAAATTGAACAATCATTGGAAGGATGTTATTAACCAGGTAAAGCCTTAACTGGTTGTGGTTGTTTCCATCGTACCCACCAGACTACTAGCACTTTTTTCTGTTTCCCCCCCCCCCACTCGTGTCCACATTCAGCTTCCCACTTCCAGCACCGCCCACTTCCCCCCCCAGCCTCACGTCCTCTTCCCCTCGCGCTCACGCGGCCCTCCCCCTAACCCACACCCCCCTCTCTCTACCCCCTTGCTCCTCCCCCCTTTCTTACCTATATAACCTTTGGCCGCTCTCCACCGGATGAGGATTGATTGTGTTGCGATCGAAACATCGTGATTTGTTATATTTTATTTTGTTTACAATATAATGTTTTATGCGAGAGCCGGGGGCTTATGGGACCCCGGGGTCCCGCCATAAGGTTCATATGATGATGATAATAATAATAAGGGTAAAGGTGCAGCCCTGAAATGTCTTTCTCACGCCACTGCTGGTGGAAGGGCTTCCACTCGAGGGAGCTCTAGTGTCCCTACGGAGAGTGCTTGGCCTATTCTTCCACGCTGATGCAAACGTCGTGGAAGAGCTTGGAGGAGCTACACTTTACCGCACCACCTGCGATCTGCCGGCGGTGTTACCAACTCATACTCCTGAGTGGACAGAGGCAGGAGAATTTAACAAAGGTGATCCATTGTTTCATAATCTGCACCAGGAGATCGAGTTAAACTGGCGACCTCTGGATTGCGAGTTCACTGCACTATTCACGACGGTACGGCAGCATCACCGATACCGGTGCTCAGTGGAAATCCAGAGGTTCTTGGTTCGACCTCCAGGCGTAGCAGTTGCAACAATGATGCAAGTAACTTAATGTCCCCCGCCTCTGTCCATCCAGCGGCATAAATGGGTGCACCATAGTCAGTCAGTCAGCAGGTCCGCGTGCGGTGTGATAAAGTGTGGGGACTCCCGACACCTTCAAGTTGCCTGGCCAGCGTGAAAGAAGAACCAAAACACCATTTACAGTTGCGGCCTAGAGCTCCCCCCTAGTGGAGGCCCTTCTGCCAGCAGTGGCATAAGCAAGCAATGTAATACTTTCCATCAAAACACAATCTCACATAATAATCAACTCTGTGCAACATAAACCTTACAAACTCCCCACCCCCCCGCCCCAATGCACTTTAATAGAAACTGACGTTTTGTTCATATTTTCCATTTTTTCCCACAGCAGGATAACCTAATGGTGGTCACCGTGCTTGCCAGGGAAAGGCAATTGTTCAGCTCTTACACTTTTGCAACACGGTGCACAATGACTGGACAACAATACCCTCAAGCGTGGGCTCTTTGGAGCTCGCTCAAGTGATGGCCCTGCAGCTGCGTTCTTCATTGCAAGGCCTGTGGGCTACTGGCGGCCCCTGGTGACCTTTAGTGTGGTGCCTGAGATGTGCCCCCGACAACCAGCCGCGGCATGAGCAAAAAGGCGCTGGGCTGCACATCTCCCAGTGTTGGGCAGCAATGTACATTAAAAAGGGACACCATGCCTTGCTCACACCTTCCACATGGTGCTCGACCTTGCAAGAGGAAAGCCGCATTTCTGACTGGTGACATTTTTTCATCAATGATTTCATAGATTTTGTTTCTGCCAACTGCCTATACTCAGCCCAGCTCTGCTCTAGCCCTGACCACCCTTCATATACGTTTCCACAACGCAGACAATGGCCAAGATTTACATTTCTGCCGAGTTGGCCAATTTACACTCCAAATTGGTAAAGAAAATATGGCAGATCGAGCCAGAGGAGTTAAAATCTTAATTAGCATCAACGTAGCCCATCAACTCATCAGCGCTACCTGGATCATTAAAATGATTTCCTCTCATGAGGGAGTCGTGCTAATTGGTGTAAAGTCAACAGCAACTGTTATATGGAGAAACTTTGCTTATGAACAAGGGATTTCAATAGCTGGCTCATGTCTAATAATGGAAATGATCACCACCACATGCCAGATAAAATATGCAAAACTTTTGTCCTATCCATTATGAAAATTCTAATTTAAGGTTGAAATGTGCTCCATAAATTACCTAATTTGTCCAAATTAGAATAACATGAAAATGAAATGCACACCTTAAGGAATCAGCACATCTTGCTTTTATACATGCGTGGTTCTCAGTGTTGACATGTTCATTACCTCGCCTGGCATACAGGAGGTTGTGGGTTCGATCCCGACGCTGATGCATGTATATTTGGAGTTTGCATGTCTCTCTCCCCGTGATCATATGGATGTTCTACAGGTCCCCCGGTTTTTCCTTCCCCATTTAGAAACATGCGTTTAGAGTATTTCTTTGCTATCAATTTCCACACGATAAGCCACTTCGTTGAGCTATCATTTGTGGCCAGGTCGCTTTTGAGAAAGAGCTATGGAGCTTAGTGGGCCTTACCTGGTAAAATAAGTAAAAAAAAGTTTGTGAATAGTTGCTC